TATAGAACATTCATCCTGTCCCCCAGTGAGATTCTCCTATACTGCTCAGGAATGACCTATGCCTTCCTCTCTCCCTGCTCCAGGATCTTGGCTCCCTCACCCCTGCCCCCCCAAGGACCTAAGCCTGCACAAAATGGCTGCCACCCCTCTGAGGCAGCCATTTTAGGTGCCCAGACTGTGGCCTCCCTTGGGATGGGACTATGTCTCCATGGGAACCTCAGACCCCCAGCTCCCAGCGCCCTCCACGGGGGCGGGCAGCAGAAATGGGAGTCTTCCAGGCCTGACTGAGGTGCCCACCATTCGCCTTTCCCTCTCAGAGATCCAGAGGGGACCAGGCCCCTCACCAACTCCCTTCCCCCAATGCCAGGGGGAGGAACAGATGGCATCTCTGGGTGTCCTTCTCCTTCCCTCTCCTTCCTTCCATTTCTGGCTCTTTCTGTCTCTCTGTCACTGCATCTCTGCATCTCTGAGTGTACACAGAGGAGCATGTATGTCGCTGTATGTTCATGCTTGTTTGTGTGTCTGTGGACATGTGTGCGTTGTACCTCTTTCAAGCCGATGTCTGAGACCAGCCCATCCCACACCTCCCTCTGTTCCAATTTTCCCGTTTTTTTTTTTTTTATTGTATCTTCTAAAAAAAAAGTTGAAATGTGTCGAGTGAGAAAAACTTGTTCCATTTTTCTGAAGGAAGAAAAGACAGGGGCAGGAAACAGACTGAGAGGGATAAAGTTCTCCACACTCCTGTGTGCACCCTCCCCCTCAGACCTCCTTCTCTGGGGAACTAACAGAGGGCTTCTCAGACCCATAGAACTGAAGTCATTCCTGATAGGAGAACAGGGGAGGGATTGAAGGACTTCCCAAGGGCTCCCCTATCCTGAGCAAGATTCTACCTCCTGCCTCCTGCCTGGAGCTGGCATGGCCCTGAGAGGCTTAACCTGGCCCTCAGTGTCCAAAGGAGAGGGCAGGGGGTACCTTTGTACTCCACAGAAACATTCATTCACTTACTCATCCATTAATTCACCCATTAATTCAACAAAAACTCAGTTCTGAGCATTCTGAATGTGTGTGTGTGTGGGGGGGGGTATGTGCACGAAATTAATATTGTAAAGCATGTTACAGTTTACAAGGTGCTTTAATAAAAATGAGAGCTGACACTGAAGGCTCATGATATTGTTGGCCCTGTGATAAACTCATTACGAGTATTATCACATTTAGTACTAACAACAGCTCTATGAGGTGTGACATAATTATCCCCATTTTAAAGATGGGGAAATCAAGACTGGAAGATGTTATGTAACTTGCTCAAGGCATCCATCAGTCTTTTAAGCTAGTAAGTGCAGTTGGCCAGGAATCAGAGCCCAAAGCATGTACAAGTAACCAAAATGCCATACAACTGGGGAGCTCAACTGGCCATGTGTCAGGATTGAAGACTCCACCCTCTGTAAAGGGACAATAAAGCCCTTGAGGCTATGCCCAAACTTGGGCAAGGGCTTGGCCAGCATAGCCGAGCCTTTACCCTACCTGGGGCTTATTCTTTGGCCTCACTCTGCCATGGCTAGAATCCCCCAGGCCACCTGCCATAGGCAGGATTCTACCTTCCCAGACCCAGGATCTATGAATGGATCACCATCGGCGTCTCATGCTTAGAGACCACTGAGGCAGACTGTGGGGTCGTAGAAGGAGCACTGGACTGGTAGTCAAGTCCTTGGGTTCTGTTCTCCACTTGTGTGTTCCTGGGAAAGTCAAGCCTCTGTGAAAAGAGATTTGAGATTGTTCTTTCCGAGGCTCCTTTTGGTTCCCGCCAAGTGCCTCGAGAGCCTCAGAAACCACCAGCCCCCTTTCTCCAAGGCTTCCTTAGCCATTGTATGTGCCTCTATTTAGAACCAAATTCACTCTGCCAAGCATCAGATCAGTGTCTTACCAGCCCAAGATCGCCTCTGGAGGCTCCTAGAGGGAGAAAACCATATCTGTCTAGATTGAGGGTGAAGTCCTCATCTTTGCACCACCACAGTGCTTGGCACATGGTTGACATCATAGTGTGTGCACTTAACTGAAGTTGTGCGTATGTAAGCTGGAGGGTGGGGAAGAACAGGAAATGTGGGTTTGAAACACACAAAATCAGGGTGTGGGCCAGGGTCTCACTACACCTGGCTGTGTGATTACCTGCTCATATACATGTATCTGTCTGAATAGAGGTGTGTATCTATTTTCTGCACCACAGGGTGAGAAACAGGTGTGTATGTGTGTGTGTGCGCGCGCGCGTGTGCGCACGCGCTCAAATATGTATAAAGATTACCTGCTCATATACATGTATCTGCCTGAATAGAGGTGTGTATCTATTTTCTGCACCATGGGGTGAGAAACAGGTGTGTGTGTGTGTGTGTGTGTGTGTGTGTGCGCGCGTGTGCGCACGCGCTCAAATATGTATAAAGCTACCTCCCTCAACCCATGCCTTTTGCATCTGTGTCTGGCCCTGTGAGAGGGTTGAAAGGTGAGCTATAAGATAAAATAACAATTTCCTACTCTCTTTATCAAGATACATGTCTGACCCACCTCTCCTTGGTCACTCTCAGGACTGCTGGAGTTGGCTTCAGTATTTTCAGTATTTTTTTTTTTTGCAAGAGGAGGAGAATGCTTGAGTCTCACAGGAACTTTAGGCAATTGTCAGCCCCCCGCCCCCCTAAAATTATCCAGTCAGAAGGCCAGAAGAGAAAGAGGTTGGTGGGATGGTCACTTGTCTGTCAGAGTGAGGGGATGTTGGCACGTGAGGAGTGAGAGGTTTCTGGGTTAGGAATCCATACTGACACTTTCTCCCCCATTCCTAAATGCTGGGTGCAGAGGCTCATCCCAGGGGTCCCTCTTTACCCCCACCCCAACATACATATGCCCCTAATCACACAAGGAAACCTCTCCCATCAGGTGACTCCACGGATAGACACACATGCTCCCCACAGACACACACGCCCATGCAAAGGCACAGACATCCAGGCAAGTCTTTCCTTTTCTCTGTCTTTCCCTTGGTTTGAATTTCGTTCAGCCACATATGTTGTGTGTGCGTGAGGGTGGGTGGGGGAGGGGCAGACAGGGATGAGGGATGGCATGGTGCCAACATCTACCTATGGGGCTTGGGCCAGGGACACCCCCATGCCCATCCTGGGAGGGGCCTCAGCTGTCCCTTTGAGGCTATGGGGATCCTCCTGGGGGTGGGGGCAAGAACAGAGGTCCCTTTTCTAGACCTGAGGGTCTGGTCTCTGACCCACCTTTGGGGGCCTGCAAGGGAAAAAATGGACTGAGCAGGACCCTGGAGGGAGCATGGAATTTGAGGCCACCACAACCCCCACCCCCAATTTCCAGCCTTGCCACCTATTGTTCCCATGTGGGGGGCTCTATATCTAAGGGGGGCAACTCCTCCCACCTCCCTCTCAATCCCTGCTTTCCCTGCGTTGGGCGAGGAGGGGAGGGCGGCAGAGATATTTATTTATTTTCTTTATTTAT